ATTTATTTTTTTTGCTTGGAATGAAATTTCTTTGGTTCGGTACAACCTATGAGCTGTTGATACTTGTGCTTCCGGTAAGAAACTTGGAAAATTTTGGCAGTTTTGACTTCAGAAGTGCCAGAGACAAGGCAAAAGAAATTCCAAAATGGGCATTGCATTGGCTGCTTCTATATCTTTTAAAAAATATCCTACATGATCATTAATTTTCAGAGGGTGTCAGGCAGTGACTAGTTTAGCTTAGCATGAAGAAAGCTGGCCTGATCACTGTGGCGCTCTCCGTGCCAAGTAAGCGACCCGACTTCTTTTTAAAAAAAAAAAAAAAAAAAAAACTTTTGCCTTTTTGTTTTTGTTTGAGTAGCCTGAAGATTATTCAAATCAGCAACATGCAGGTTTAAAACTTTGAAGACAGCCAGGCAAGCCATTTGCTGCTAATTGCCTCCTGCCTCCAGCTGCAGACGGTACAAAATGTGTAGGCAGAGAGTATACGAGCTGTGGGCTACATGCTGAGTTTGAGCAATATGCTGCCTGCAGCGAGAGGGGAGCTGAGAAAGGCCGTGACCCCAGGAGCACGAGGGAATGCTCGTCGTTCTCTTTGTCCTGCTCATCGCTGCAGCCCTGGTCTTCATCTTAATTTACGCTTGTGATGGGAAGGAGAGGAGAGGAGGCATGAAAGCACCATTTAGATGAGGATACAATGCACAGTGTGGTAAAAGAAAACAGTAGGACAGTGATGTGTTTTGTGTTTGTGCTGCAAAACACTCGACTGGACGCCGATGCACTGAATTTTATTCAAGCATGTTAGTGCACACATTGTGGCTGCTGTTACTGAGCAAAAAAAAAAGTATTTCCCAGGTTTAAATAATTAATTCAATTCTGAGCCACTGTGGTCCAGTGTAATGCTAAAGTGCGCGACTTCTCATTTTAAAGGAAAATTCCACCCAAGACTTTCACGGTTTATTCAAGAAGTATTTCACAAAAAGTCCGACTTAATGTCCAACTACTTGTACTTTTACATGTTTAATCTATCTAAGCAGTACTCTCAACAAGTTATGAAATTAAAGACCAAGTATGACTTTATGTCAAAATACTTTGAACTACATAGGTTTATTTCACCCAAAATACTACTTTTGTTGGTAGGTAAGAGTTGCATTTGGACAAATTTTGTAACTAGCATATCTAAGTCACGACCAGGTAAAATAACAATGGAATCATATGCTATGGTTTCTCTCGTAACTGGATCTCAATAATCAATACAAAGCAATATCACCCCTGACTCACAAAGAAATGAAAGTAAATGCCTCTTCTGAACCCTACCGCTGAAGAGCTCAGCAATTCCTGACAAAGACAGAGAGACATTAATCTGCATTAATATATCTGAGGCTCCACTAAATAATAAATAAGCACACAAGCTAAGAGTTGGTTTTACATCAAGCAGCCATTAGCTAAAACGTGGCAGTTTGCGGCGCCCTAATGACGAGTTAGTTTCTCACACTTTGCCAGGTTAACCGTGCAGTTGAAGACATCAGAAACTTGACTTACATTCAACTGTCATCCAGGAATGAAATCTTTGCGACTGATCAGTAGGTGAAAGAAAAACCATGAGTCCTAAAACTGGGGTCCTGAAAGCGCCGCCTCTGGTGCTGCAGACACATCCTACTCAGTGTTTCTAAATTTGTCAGTTATTTCTATTTGGTGGCCCACAACTGGTCATCTTTTGGTGTCTTGCAACTTTGCATTGTTCAAAAGTCCACTGGATGCCTTTTTCGAACTTAACCAATGCCTGTTAGATACCTTTTTTAGGTTTGAGCTGTGCTGAGGTACCCATTGCTGTGTCCATTCCAGGTTCACGGTTAAGGGTTGCTGATGTATAGATCATCATCATGCACTTCAGCGATTAACACCAAGTAATCTGCTGAAGACCCTTTCTTAAATCAAGGTACTGGATTGCTTCCTCTACGACTTGTGCTGCCCCAATGTGAGGGTAAGTGGAACTTTAAGGGAGGGACGGCAGTAATACGCTGCTATAATGCAAAGTATTGCATGGCAAAACAAAAAGGTGGAAGATCAGTTTCGAGCACAAAGTTGTTGGAAAAAAAACATTTAACATCTTCTTTGAGTTTGTCCTGTTAAAACTCTTGGTTTGCAAAAATGAAGAAAACAGTCTGTTTTTTTTGTCTGCAGAGAATCATACCATGAAGAATTCATGCAGCCGTCAAAATAAAAGTGTAAAATCGCTCAGTCACTGTATATATCCACAGTGAGGGGGGACAAGTTCCTGTGTCTGGTTGCCTTCACTGGTCAAGACTGGGTAAACATCACTGAAAGCAGCAGTGTGTGACTCATGAAGGATCTGTCTCCCCCCCCCCCATCATCACCATAAACATATACGGTACCGTACATGATTCAGGCAGGATGTGCTGTTCGTCTACTTTCTAAGTCACCCGCTGTTCCACTGGAAGCTGTCACACACAGTGTGGATGTGCGCTTCAAGAACTGAATGTCTGGTACAAACGGTTCCCTGTGGAACATTAACCACTGAAATCTCCTTTTACCCAAATGTTGTGAGAGATAATGAGACCACAGAATAAGCCTAAACAATACTGCCATCAGGTGGCAGAAGGTAAACCCACTGTAGTGTAGAATGAGACACTATGTACAGTGTGTGCTGTTTTTGGCTCAGGTCTTGTGGTCAGGTTAGATTTCCGCATGTCAAACTCAAGAGTCCTGAAGACATTTTCGATGACATCTGGAATATAACTCACGAGGAAAAGAAAAACTAAAGGGGAAAAAAAAGCTGTCAAACCAGTGAAAATGGATCCTGAAGGTTTTGGAGCTGTAGTCGGTCTGTTGGGCAGGTTTTCAGAAGAGACACAAAAGCACTGTTAAGGTGTTTTGGTTCTCAGCTGTGTTAAAGGAAACCTGACTAATAAACTATTCCCTGTTCTGGTGAAGTGATCACATTGCTGAGACATCTGTCACTACCTGCTAAATTACAGTTTAGGTCTTTGAATTTATTGAGAAATAATAAATTCTAGTAAAAATCAAGTTTTGTACCTTGTTAACATACATGTCCATATGAATTTTTATTAATTTTTAAAATACATTTAAAGACTGTTAAACTTCCTCATGTGTCAACGTCATGGTTGACCGTTTTCTTTGGCTAAAATGCAACTTTGATCCGGTGAGATGAGTTTTTATGGGTTTAATAACAATCAGGGTTTAATCAAATGCTCCCCAGACTTAAGAATCACGTGTACCACAGTGCAACACAGGAGACAATATAGTATCAACCTTCCTGAGAACGCTCAGGAAGCTCAACCTGTCCCAACACCTGCTTGTGGCCTATTACCACAGCACCATTGACAGCATTGTGACTCATGGCATTCTGACATAGGGGAGGTGCTCTGCACCAGACAAAAAGGTTCTGCAGCAGATTATAAAAACTGCACAGAACATCACCAACTACTAGCTCTGGACATCTTCCCCTCTCGCTGCCTGCAGAAGTCACATAACATCATTAAAGCCCCATCCCACCCTGCCCAACACCTCTTTGAACGTAGATACAGGTCCATCAAAGCATGCACCACACAACTCCAGAACAGTTTTTACCCCACAGCCATAATCACACTGAACAATGACGGCGGAAGTGCAATGTTTTAACATTTGACTGTCCTATTGTACTGGCCTGAGTATATTTGGTACTGATGGGAGTGTGTGATGTTTTAAAATGCTGCATGAATCAGTGATTGGATGTTGTGTGAGTGATTGTTTTAGTTATCTATTCTATTTATTCTCTTCTTTTTTTTCTGAGTCCGTGTTCCGGTCAAAGATAATCATAATTTTCTCCAAATGTTTGATGAAATCCCTTCGTCTGACTTACTGGATGTAGACTTGGGGTAGAAGCCTGGTAATCTGAATAGGGTATAACCCCCCTTTGCCCTAAATTAGCTGTAATAGGCTCCCTAGATTCTAGGTTTGAACTGTGCGATAAGGCAGCACTGCTTGGTTCTGCTGTTGAATTTGCTATTTTAATGGCGGTACTCAGCTCCCTCAAAAGCATACCATCAGCACAGTTTTCAAGGGGCACCATCTCTGCATCCTGGGCTTAGCAGCACCCATGACAACTGTAGCAAAACGCAAGACAAGAAACCTCTAGGTCACATAAAACAGGTTAAAATAATCTCCAACACCTTGAAGTTGTGTTGTTTTAAAATTAAAACAAAAGGTTTTCCAATGCAAGACACCTGAACATTTTTGCATGTTTTGACCCCCAAAAAATGTCCTTGTAGAACCTCTTTCAGGGCTGTTTCCGGGGTATTAAAAAAAGACCTACTTCAGGGTACATACTTCTGACCAGCCCTTAAAAAACTGTGGTGTGGATCTTGACATTTACCGGTTAAACTCAGAGAAGACAAATACAGATTGTTGAGCAAGTCTCCTCTCTAACATCGGCAACTTTTTAAAATTTTTTTTTTTTTAAAACCTGTTCTGTTCAGCAACTTGGGCAAATAGTGTGATGGTTCTAGATGTCCAGTCGTGCCACACAGATTTGCTCTGCTACGGGGAAAGTCTGAGATACTTCTCCCGTAGTGTGATTTATATTTTATTCTTTGTGACGACCGGACCAGAACATCGGCAATTTCAACGTAAAATTTCTCCACACAGGCTAATGTGACAAACCTCTATTGTTGTATTTCCTACCTGCCAAAAGACCTGGAGTTATGTTTAGTCACCACTATGTGTTGTCGTTTTGGCACAGTCTGAGTTAACGTCAAAACTTACTTACCAAGTGTCCCTCACATGTAGATTCCTGCAGGTTGCTAAGCTGCCCCCAGGTGGTTAAAACTTCCGTTCAAATACACAGCCGGCAACTTAAAAAGTACAGAGTTGATTGTGAAAATAAATAAAAACAGACATGACCAAGATCATGAACTGCTATCTACACAATAAAGAGCAACTTCTGCCATCAGTTCACCATGTAAATAAAAATTCAAAGCAAATTCTCACTTTATTAATGATTTTTATTCTACATCCGACACTGTTAACATCAACCATTTGGCTCTAAATAGATGTACCGCTTGCTTGGGGCTGCACAGCTGACGAGACATTGCGTGACTGCTGAAATTACGTCGACTGAGCAGCCAACTTCTTTGCTCTGCGAGCTGCTCCAGACTTCCTCTTAGCTTTAGGCTTAAAGGACGGAGGACGGGGAACATTTTTGCCTCCTCTCTTGGCTTTGGGCCGATAACTGGAAGAGCAAAACGCAGAGAGACGCAGGGTTAAGATATGCGGATATTAAACCGCACTGGCACGGTGAACGTATTTAACCTCTTGGGGCTTTTTCTCGGCCTCACCTGTTGATCCTGTGCGTGTCTCTGAGAGGGCAGGATTTGCGTTTGTGCTTCAGGCTGCCGCAGTTAAAACAGCCTTCTTTTCCTTCCCCGCGGCCACATGGGTGGTCCGGGAGGGCACAGCGACCGCAGGACTGGCAGTGCTTCCACGCTTTAATGAGGACATTTGAATAAATTCACTGAACAATAGCAAATAAAAAGACTTCTTAAAAATGCGTCTCTCCTACTGTAGCTGATTGACGTACATGGTTTCACGCATTTCTCGCATGTTGAGCAGTGCTTCCATTCACGACCGTCCTGGAGACACCAAGAGAAAACACAGCGTATACAGAAGGTTCAACGGACTGCCGTGGAGTTTCAAAATAAAATGGATGTGCAGTAGTTCTATACCTTGGATGGGCAGAGGTTGCATTTAGCGCAGTGTTTGTTCAGGGACCAAACGTATCTCTCACATACAGAGCAGAATCTAACAGGACAAAGAGAAGATACAACACCCTATTAATACAAATCCACACCATTATAACACCACAATTATGCTGGTGTGTATTTTTCAAGTTCATAAAACAGAAAGTGACAGAGAATTAACATTCGGTTTTCTACATGAGTTGCATTCACATTTAAAAGCAATAAGGCATGTCATTTGCAGGCAAATAGATTTATGACTGTTTGGATCACAACCAGTTATGTTTTATTCCAAACTAAACTTTGTGTGAAGGACAGATTTAGGCTGAAAACAAGCCATCCACCTGTTTGTATGTGTACTATTATATATATGTGCATAAAAAGCCTTGATTAGAAATGTTAACGTATCAGTAAAAGAAAAATGAGACAAGTGCAATGGAAACAATAAATAATAAATATGATGATGTACTTGAAGCATGACACCTCAATGTGCACTTAAGCCTTTACTCTACTGGATGAAAACATCAGAAAGGAATGGCAGCCTTCCACAGAATAATAAAAAAATGAAATATTTCTAGAACGTTTTCTACATTCTTTTGACCGTTTAAAGTTTGAATGAAGTTTTTTTTTCTTTTTCTGTGGTGGCTCAACTGCACTGATGGAACCTGGTACCACTGGCTGTTTTGCTCGACTATCCAACTCCTAATATTCACATAATGACTATAACAATTATAGATTATATTAATTAAATTTGCACCATATCTGGATGGAAACCCAGCAACGTATTACCTTCCTCTAAAATAAACTATAGAAACTTATTGTGTGCATGTAAATGGTATCAAATTCCTGATAATTTACATAGTTTCTGATCACATACTGTCTGATTTAGTCCCATTTAATGTAATTTAATGTTGGGGGTTCTTTTAAGGCTGCTTAAACTTACTGCATTAAGAAGCTGTCTTGTTAAATCAAAAACGATATTTTTATTCTGCACAATAAATCGAAAAACAGAATTTTGGACTTGATACTCAAACCCTAAATCAATGATATCATGCCCAGATGCTTTTAAAGCATTTTAATATTAGAAAACTCTGTCAAATGCACTTTTTACGCTCTATATACAGCTAAAGCCTAATTAGCATATCCAACAAATGCACGCTCTTTGACGCCAAACACAGTTTAAAATGTCTTCGTCTTGATGAGCTGAAATCTCCAGTTGTGTCTGCCGCGTAGTAGCTTAGAGCCGATAGAGTGAGTGTTCAGGTACCTGTATCCCTCGTCTTTTGGCAGGACAACATCTCTGGGTGTAATATTAGTGAAGAGCCTGACAGGAGACTGCTTCCTGCCTGTCTTCCCATGTTTATACAGAGGATGGTTGTCATAGTCCACCTGGTTAGAAATAAAACCACATTTGATTACATGTTTGTAGTCTTTTATAAGCTTTCAAATGGACAAATATGATCCTAAAGACAGAGGACGCTCTACAAATAAATTGCATGCAGTTATTTGGAAGTCACAGTCAGGTAGTAGCATTAATGTGTGAGTCACTGTCCTGCAGCTCTAAAGCACGCGTGACAAACAAGGTTTATACTAACAGAAAATTTAAGGTTATTTTTGACACGACCAGTAAGAATGACCACTTGTTCTTGTCTTCCGTCTTTATCCTAAGTTCTTCAGTAGAAGGTGACTGGACTTTCCTTCGTGGATCTTGAAGACATTTCCCCTCTTAGTTCTAACTGACTAACTCAGGCATGTCCAATCCTGGTCCTCGAGGGCCACAGTCCTGCATGTTTTAGATGTTTCCCTCTTCCAACACACCTGATTCAAATGATCAGCTCATCATCAAGCTCTGCAGAAGCCTGATAATGATCCTGTGTGAACAGCTGCCTGGTCATGGATTGCTCAAGGTGTTACAACTATCTGGTAAGGAACTTCAATATCGCATTAGAAGTACCCTATAAGTGGTGTCATGGACTCCCTTCGCTTCTGCTTCTTTAGAGCAAGCGGAGCCTCTTAGCTGAAATGTCTTCAAGAACCAAAAAGAGAAGTCCTGTTGCCTTCTACTTGATGACTGATTCGGTCTACACTTCTTCCCACTTAAAACTCAACCGTCAACTTTTCTGTCTGAACAAATCCTGCTGAAGAAAATTTAATAGCCTTGGAGTTCCTAAGTGAGATCAGATTTACAGATTTTATAACAAAGGACATAATATATCACAGTACTAATAGCATGAATAATGGTTGTGTCAATGAATAATACACTGTAGCAATTAATGATATTAGTTACTAGAACATAGTATTTAAGGAAAATGTCTGCTGTGCAAAAGCTAAACATTTAAAGCCACGAGGAACATTTGGTAAAAAGGGAACTACAATATGTCTGCATGACAGAATGCTGTCACTTTAGCAGATTGATGAGTGTGTATCATATATTTATGTTCAGAAAGGGCTTAAAAGAGCTGAGCGCTATAAAGTGGTGCACTGCTGGTACCTGGTAGTCCAACATGGCCAATGAAGGGAGACACTCCAGGATGCGAGGCTCAAAGAAGTACGGGAAGATCCACACCATGGGCAGGTCAACGTTCCCGCTGTCTGCACACACCAACAAACAAACAAACAAGCACATGCTTGTTAGAGTCACACAACGAATTTAGAATGATTAATTTAAATTATGCTAAAAGTACAAAGAACATTACAACAGAACAATGCTTTTTGTTGGTATGAGAGCTCAAAGCTGCAGTATTCAACATTTTACTTTAAAAACACTTTAAATTACTGTGTGTAAAATGAAAGGAAAAAACAGTTCTCACTAATTCTGCATGTCTCATTAGTTTTGCTGAGTTTTTTTAAAGCCTATTTTGGTTTTACAATCTGCACATTTTACTCTTTTGGTTCAGACTTACTGTTGTAAACAATCATTTTTCCAGGAGCAGCATCAGCAAGTAGAAGACTTCAGTAAAAAAGTGTGAGTAAACCCACCGTCCACTTGCACCAATTAGCAGAAAGATAGTTAACAGCTACCCTCAAACACTAAAGTGTTTAACAGCTAAGGAGCTAGATATTTTTCTCAGGAGTTGGAGGAGACCAAAAACAGAGCAAAAAAAGTGTGACCCTTAAATTTGCATTCACCAGGTTAGGCTCAAGCTGTTCCTATTTTGCCAGATGTCTAATTAGGATAATGTCAGTCAAATCAACTTTATATGATAGTAAAATATCCAAATACATTCAACTTTTAATTATTATAAGACAGTAAGAAAAAAAAGACATCTAAATCATGGCCTGTCTTTGTGTAGTATTGTGTGTATATGAATATGGAAATGTTGCACTGTGACACTGACCAGAGCTCTTCAGCTTCTTCCAGGTCTGTGATATCAGAGAGAAGCTGTTGGCCAGAGGCTTCACCAGGCCGCCGAACGGAGGGTCAGCCACCATCACCACCTTCTGCCCATCGGACTCTGAGAGGAAAGTCTTCAGGACTGCACTGGAGGCCTGACAAGAGAACAGGCTTTGTCATTTTAGCATCAACACTGCTATGCGTGCATGCACAATGGTCACCTTGTAGGAATTGTAATGTGAAGTAAGGTCAATTAAGTCAAACAAATCATACTATGACTTCTATTGCTGTGACACAGTGAAAGAAAACGTGCACAGTTCTGGTTTTTCCATAACAAATTGATCAAAGAACCTGTCAGATAGAACATTATTCACTCTGAGCAGAAAGATACACAGACAAAACTTTCCTGACACGCAGGCTCCGCTTGTGCACAGCTAAACGAATGAAAAACAATGAAAAGGAAGAACTGGTTGCAAAATAGAAATGCAATGTCAGTTGTAGCACAATTGACAGACTATTAATCACGATTTTAGCTTCTCAGTGTTAAATGAACATGATCCTTTGGGATACTGATGTTTAAAAGGCTCAACTCACTGCCCATGTACATAAAATGTCTTAATTTAATGTCTCAATTTGGGTAAATTTGACATTAGAACACCTTAATTCAGTCTTTTTATGGTAATTTCTGGTCACACATGAGCCTGAGCTGTTGGGAGACTAGAGGCCTCTAGCTGCCTAGATATCTGAGGTGTTCAGGGAACATAAGTAAAATAGCAGATGTTTAAGAAATGGCACATTTTGGGTATAGTTATATGTATGTTTTGCCTCTTGGAGAAGCACTGAGTTCAGGTATGATTAAGTCGTATTTTAATGGAGATTGTCTGGAACGTAGCACAACACCGAAGCAAGTGCTGTTTATTCAAAAGCACAATAAAAAAATCCTTAGTCTTGAAAATCAATAAATAATTGCAAACTCAATAATTTATCATGCTCCTCATCCACACCACAATCGTGCAACCCTGTTCATTTGTATGGAAATAATTTGGCTCCAGAAAGAACAATGTGGACCAAAAGCAGGTACACTGTAAGCTTGTAACTCCTGCACGAGGCAACGAAACCCGAATGCAAAGCCAGATCACAAGCGAAAAACTATTTTAGATGTCTTTTGCCTCCGTTACACCATATTTGTTAGAAATTCCAGAACTTTTTAAAAAAAATATTTCTAAAAAACTAAATATCACAATACACTAATAGGAATGCAAATCCATTGTTACCTCTCCACCAAAGAAGTGATTGTTGAACATGTTGTAATGACAGAACTCATCCCGGCTGTAGAACTGGGCATATCTGAAACAGAAATAAAATATTTTTTTTTCCCCCTCTCCTTTTTTAGATGGCTGTGAAAACAAGTTTGAACTTATCTAGCGTTCACAAACACACAGCGGATCCTGAGGTTGTGTATCCAGGTTACAATAAGGTGTGTGCAGCAGGCTGAAGCTTGTAACACAAGAACACACCCTCGCTGCACTTCCAGCCTGCACATTCTTCACAGAAACAAACAGCAGAGACAGCGCAGGAAGCTTATAGGTAAGAACGACTTCTAAATATTATTTAATCACGTTTGAAGAGTATAAATGAGTATTTGACTCTGCATGATGGACACCTTTAGATCACGCAGAGAGCTTTTGTGATCATAAACAACAAATTATTTGATTAGAGAAACAAAAAATGATATTCTGCAGCTGTATAAGTGCAACATCTGTCAAACTTAAGTGGAAAACATTAAGAAAGTTACTATTGACTCTGACAGAAATAGGATTAAGTCCTGGATTATGTTTTTGTAAAACTGGCATGAAGAGACAGGCTGTTACAGAAACCTGAACAACTGGTTCACTGTGTAAACACGGCCAAATGAAAACACACAAAAAACGCTTTAAATGATGCAAAAGAGGAAAATCTCTCGGATAAAAGCGTAACATATGTTTGCTGTTTTTCCTCAGTCCTCAAAAATGGAAGCTGCAGAGTCGTCACACGCTGGTAGTGGACGGTCAGCAGCAGCTCAGTCAGTACAAAATGATCTCATGGCGCCCTCTGTGGGCATCGACAGTCTACTGCAGGATGGCTTCACTTCACTGGACACCAGCAGCGACCGAGTTGTTCAGCCTTTCCCACGTTCTCCGAAACTACAGAGGAAGGTGGCCAAAGCTGCACAGCCCTCTCAGGTAAGCATGTGTGTGGATGTGCAGGACTAAAAATGTCACAAACCACTTGTTTCCAAACAGGAATTTTCTGCTCTACCTAAATATACTGACATGATTATGTGCAGCATCACAGGTTGGAAGTAGATGTGCTCTGATGTCTGCCTAGTCAAAACCTTTGCAGAAAAAATACTATCATGTGAAACACAAAACTAAAAAAGTCTTAAAAGAGCAATAAAAACTAGGGAAGTGTGTCATCAGGTGTCCACACGAAGGTTGAAGCAGGCATTGCCACAGTCGTCCTCAAATGTATTCATATCCTTCCATTAAAGAAAACAACATTCACAATAGTCACTGAAATAACTAGAAACTGAAAAAAGTAATAATAAATAAAAATTTGCTAAATTATAATTTAGTGAAATAGGGCACTGCTTTTGAACTGTGGTTGAAAAGAATATTTAAAAAAAACAAACAAGACTGTCCCGGAAAAATTAGCACACTTTGCTGAGGAGCAGTGAAATCAAAACACCTGTCAACAGGTGCAGAAGTCTGTCTGAGAGTTACAGAAAACACTTGATTGACTCAAAGGGTTGTTCAACAAAATATTCGCTTATGGGTCCCATCATGCTTGTTTGCTTAAAAATATTTCCATTGAACCACAATTCAAAAGCAATGTCATGATTTTCATTACATTTTTATTTGTTATTACTTTTGTCAATTTCAACTTTTGTCAGTGACAGCTGTTTATTTCATTCTTTTAATGCAGGGGTGGGCAATCCTGGTTCTCGAGGGCCACAGTCCTGCATGTTTTAGATGTTTCCTTCTTCCAACACACCTGATTCAAATGATCAGCTCATCATCAAGCTCTGCAGAATCCTGATAACGATCCTGATCATTTGAATCAGGTGTGTTGGAAGAGGGAAACATCTAAAACATGCAGGACTGTGGCCCTTGAGGACCAGGATTGCCCACCCCTGTTTTAATAGGAGGGTATGAATACAATTGAGGACGACTGTTTGTTGTAATCAGCAGCAACTTTGACATCAGAGATCTAAAGTCTTTTATGATGCGAGACGGTCCTGCTGTGTACAGGAGCAGCTATCCAGACGTATGGAGGAGCTGCAGGCTGAGAAATCCAAGACTGATGCCCACATCGAGTCTCTGAAGAAACGCAAAGCAGATCTCTCTGTAAGTTTAGAACCAAGTCCTTAAAACAGTCTACTAGGAGAGGCTGTGATGATGTATAGGAAATCCTTTGTAATATCTGCACACCTTTCCTCCCTGCAGAGGACCACGGAGGTGATGAAGCAGCAGGTCCGAGAGCGCTTCGAGAACATGCGTCGCGTCCTGAAGCAGGACGAGCAGGTTGTCCTGGACTCTCTGGAGCTGGACCTGAGGCGGACCAGGACCAGGCTGGACCAGGTTTTGAAGAACTGGAAGCAGCACCTGGACCAGGTCGCAGAGAGCATCGTCGGCACCCAGAGAGTGTTGAGCAGGAGCCCCGGAGCAGAGGAAGATGGGAAGGTCTGATTCGCGTACTGATCAATAACCCCTGTTTTAAAAATACAGCACCTGAAGGCATCTTACTGTTGTTTAAACGAGTGTTTCTGCTTGTGTCTCCTCTTAAGGGTTACTCTGAGAGTTTGAGGTAATATGCTGTAGTACTAGGTGGAAAGATTTCAGCTCTCTGTCCTGTACTGCTGTAACTGTAATCCGTGTGATCATTCCTCCAGTCCCAAGAAGCCCGACACATCCGAGGAGGAAATCGGACTGAATAAAGAGAGATTCGAGATGCTTCTTAAAACACTCGCCTCCATCTCCAGAAACCTGAAGGCTCAGTTACAGAGGAAGACTCTACTGTTAGGTACTGAGACGATTATTTCTATGTGATATAGATCTTTTACAGCAGCAGGGGGAGTGAAGGTTGGTTCACTGGACCAGGAGAGAACAGGAAATGTCATCTAAACCAACTATTTTTCGAAAAGGTGCATGCAATGAGTCTCAAAATGCATCAACTCTCAACTCTTAGGATCAGGAATTGGTTCAACCTGAGCATTATTGTTTTATTCAGCTAAAATACATCCCATCAAAACATGCTCCTTTCTTTACTGTACTGTTAGTCTGTTGTGTTGAGATTTTCGTTGCATTTACGAGTGAAAATTGGGAAAAATTATTCAGTTGCACTGATCATTTTGTCACATGTGTTGATAAAATCTTTCCTGCTAATGTTTTATGATCAGCTAGCAGCCTTTTGTTGCACACTTTCCCTGGTCCAAATGACAAATGGCACATAAATCCACTGCTAATTATGGCTATTCATACACTAAGTCTGTGGTAAGCCAGAGCTAAACTCAGGGTGTTGTCTGGTTATGACAGCAGCCCGAAAAGATAATATTTTATTATAACAGTCGGAGCTGTGGCCACCAGGAAATCAGAGAGACAGATCCTCTAACTGGTGGTCAGAAGGGTGCTTCAGTATGTGGTGACCGGCACCCAACATTGTTTATGAGGCGCTTTGGGACTTGGCCAAGCATTTAAAGTTGGCATCAAAAGCTTGGTCTGATTCTAAAGTGTATGTGGATTAGCATTTCAAATGCTCCTCAGAGATTCTTGTTTTGCCATCAGAACCAAAACTCAGTGTTGTCACCACAGTTGGGTAATTTCTTTCCCTAAGAAAGTGCCAGAAATGCATTTGTTGCACCAATAAAAATGTAGCCTACAAAGTTCACCAAACCTTTTATATCACCATAGAATATGAAGCTGATCTGCTTCAGTCAAACAACCAACACACAAATGAAGACAATAAAACAACCACCTACCAAGAGACAGTTTAGCTAAATCTATACTAGTGGATACATTTCTGCTGTCTCATGGTACACGCTGCTTTATCAGAACGGTTTCAAACTGTGTTCCCGAAAGGAAACAAAAAAGAGAATTATGGATTCATGTTGTGATGCTAATAGAACACAACATGCTGCATGTGTTCACGCAGTAATACTGAGTACACTCTTTCATTTCAGACTCCACCCCTACTATGATTGACAGGCAGACTTGCCACGCCCAGATCATGGTGACCCCAGAGGGGCGGAGCTTGTCCTTCTCTGGCTCTCCTCGTTCTGCTCCAGAACATCCTCTACAGTTTGATAAAGTGTGCTGCGCTCTGGGCTCGTCCCCCATCGCAGCAGGCCAGAGTTACTGGGAAGTGGACGTGCACTGCTGCTCCGCCTGGGCTGTGGGCGTGGCCTACGCCAGCCTGGAGAGGAAGGGCCGCGACAAGGGCGCCAAACTGGGCCGGAACCGCAACTCGTGGTGCATCGAGTTCCGCAACAGGAATCTGTCTGCTTGGCACAACGACCGGAACGTGGCGTGTCAGGGCGTCGGACAGACCCCGCTGGGAAGGGTGGGAGTGTGGGTGAACTACGATAAAGGCCAGCTGATGTTTTATGATGCGGACAACATGGTGGTCCTGCAGAGGTTTTCGGCAGCCTTGACGCCGGTGTTCGACAGAGCTCATCACCAGTTCACTCAGCCTCTGTATCCGGCAGTGCGCTTCCTGAAACCACCAGAGAACCAGATCTGGTCGAACCACCTGGAGTTCTGTCACCTCGGTTCTCCATGAAGTGGAAAATGATGTGGACTATCCAGTACCGCCTGACAGCTAAAGGAGTTAACAGACTATTCGGGTCTCATATATCATACATTCTTTCCTGTACTGCCATTCCGCCACTTTAACTCCTTATCAAAGCAACAATGTTTTGTATCCATGTCTAAATATGATGCGTGTTTTCCATCCATGTACAGTGCAAATGTTTTAGATGGTACTTTAGATTTTTATCCATCACTCAGTACCATCAGAGAGACATCTGATTGGTCCCAACTTCATTCCACAGCAGGACAACAAGCACCGAACCGCCAGCCAGAGTCACAAAAAGCCATCATCAGCCAAAAGCAGAATGTTCTGAACCCAACAGAGCCCTGATCTCCTCATCATAGAGCCACTTTGGATCAGAGACAGACTAGATCCACTCTGAGATTTTGTAAATGTCCTACCTGCCAGGTATTTTGAAAAACTCTGCGAATTCCTAGTTCTCCGCTACAAACACAGCAGGATACAAATACGACAGATTTACCTGAAGTCAATGTCCAGCAGCAGATTCTTCATTGGCTCGTTGTTCTGCTCCAGGTTTCGCAGCTTGATCAGCTCCTGCAGTCTGACACAAACACAAACAATCATTATTCAGAATAATTTTTTTTTTAATGATTTGTAAATGTTTAAAATATGTCAATCTCTCTGTTTTGAATGTTTTTTTGTAACCAAAATCAAATAAAATGATTGAATAAATTGAGAAATTTCGTCTGAAATCGCTCATATATTAAAAACCTGCACATACACCATCTCAAAAAACTGCACTGACCTTCCGATGAACTCAATTTTCGAAGAACTTTCATTGCTATTATAAGTTTTTGTGGCTCATCGTTGGCTTTTGGCTCCAGTTCTGTATTTCTCAAGTGTCTCAGAAGGGAAATCTCTCATAGCTGGACAGACATTGTCATGATGACGCATCATAATTCCTACTTTTATGACTACAAGTTCTATCGTTTTCTCAACTTTTGGAACTTTAGAAAATCTTTCCTTTTATGGCCAAAATTGATAAAATCTCCAGAGAAGTCCTCCCCTGTTAGGAGTTAGAGCAAGGTGTTCAGACAGACATTATACAAATGTTCGGATATCTTCTAACTCACCTGGGTGTTCCCACACACAGCACCTTCCTGTATCCCAGACCAGCGAGGGTGTCCAGCAGGAAGCGTGCGCTGCGGTCGGTGAAAAGGTACTGGGCGTTGCTCTTCTTGTTGTCCAGAGGACGCAGCAGCACGCTGGGCCTCCTCAGCTGAGCCGCCATGATGGCCACGCATCTGTGAGCAGCGTGAGCGGCGTGCTCCACTGGCAGCAGCAGAATCTGGCAGTCATGACAGAACTTCTTCTCATCAAGAGGGAGGGAGGCGAACTTTCGAAACCTGATGGAGAAGTTTAAAGACAAGTGGAAAAGTCAGTCAATACTCCCTATTTTTCTGTGAGGGTTTGAATTTGCCTGAGCTGATTTAACACTACAAACAAGGCTGCACAAAAATGGAAAAATAATTACGTTGCATATTGTATTTTGTATTGTTTTGCAAGGAAAGCCTATTTGAAAAGCATTGTGTGAATCTGTTGGGGACTCAATCTGCACAGAAATTGAAAGAATGAAAAAGCTACTTGGAACCTTTTGCATATGACATATAACACTGGCTTCCACAAATAGTGTTATGTTGTAGATGGCATTCAAATCTGACTGTGCTGGTCTGACAGAGCTAATTTAAATAGTCAAACAAATAAGTCGTGTTGCCTTGTGTAGTGGTAATAATTACAAGACACACGGTCTACACATTCTTTTCTGTAGCTGCAGTATTGTCACAAAGTTTTTATGTAACCAAATCTTCCTTTCAGTGTTTCGCTCTTGTTCCTCATCTATTTTGCTGCGCACATGTGGAATTTGCATGTCAACAAAGCCTGTGTCTTGTAAATAAAGTATAAAAATACTGCAAGATCCTTTAAATCCGAATAAAATGTTTAATCAGACAGACTTCTCTCTCTTCTCTAGTCATAGAACATGGAAAACTATTTTAATTTTGTATCCAGCTGCAAATAAAGTTGTAGCATTATGTGTTTAAGTTAATTTACATTGCTATTCACAACTGTACACGAGCACATCACAATATCATTGCCAGCACCATATGTTGTGCAGCCCTATTTACATCCAATTAAATCCTGAACAAAGTCAGCTTTACAATAAATCAAGCTCAAAATGCTGCATAATGTAGCTATCTGGTGTATAATTTGTCTTGTTTATGAGTTAACAAAGACATATAAGCATTTTATTTGTCAACCACCAGCGGCACCAGCTTAAATTTTGCATTAATGTGTATTAAAGGATCTTTCTCGATGAAACAAATCAAGTTTTTATTACTTAACAGCTTGCTGAACTGTGATGTTCATCATGAATAAGGACCACTATAGACAACCCTCTTCTTTGTTTGAGGCCATAATGAGCTGCAGCTGACTTCTCACCTGTTACAGTACTCCTGCTGGGTGAAAGGAGGCCTCATTGACTTGTTCTCTGCCTCTCTGGCCAACAGCCTGACCTCTGACACCTTTGAAGTAAGCAAGTTAAAAGTAACTGGTTTGTATGATCATTTTAATGTCAGGTATATTGTTGTAAATTACAAATACTGATCCAGAGAGCCTACCTTATCATCTTCCCACTGGAAAAAGTTGCAGTCCTTTCTGTCTCGACAGGCCGAGCAGGCATAAAACCTCCTGCCTTCTTTGCCTCCTTTGCAGACTTTCTCAAACAGCAAGGTTGGACCTGGAGGAACACATGTGATGTGACACTGCATAAGAAGGTAAGCCAAACTCCATCGAAAATAATTCTTATTGTGAATGAAAACCCCTAAAAGCTAACACAAATAGGCATAAACGAATCTTAAGGAGGGAGAATGAACTTAGCAACAATTCGGCCTTAATATCAGGCCCACAGGTCACACACACACACCTAGTGTAGCTCTGTCAAAGTATAACACCTATGGCTGGCAGTGCAAATTTTAGTTGCTAGTCTCAGAAATTTGAGTTGCTTTGTGGTAAATACACATGCCGAATGTATTTAAACACTTCACTTAATCGCATAATGCCATTATTATTTTTTGGTCAACCGGTGTAGAAACTTTAAAAAGCAACGCAATTTTAAAACAAGTGATTTCCCAAGGCAGTCTGGTGTTGCGCAGCTTCATACCCCGTAGCTGCGTTTATACTCACCATGCGGACAACATGGCGCTGGTTTCCCACCCTCTGCTATAATAACTTCTATTCCAAAACTGTCATCGTGTTCCTCGGATAGATCCATGTCGTGACCTTTACGCAGGTAGTTAATTTTACTTTAAAATCCTTAACACGAGTGTGGCTCAGTCTGACGAGTGGAAGCCATGCCGGTTTCAGTCGCACACATTAAACGTCACGGGCATGTTGTCGCACAGAAATCTCGTCAGCCATAAAGCAAAACAGAGACGGTGTCGCGTCTAAAAGGGCTCGTCTGCAAAAACTAATTATTGTCATGTCTTTTTGCGTTATTTTGCCCAATCTGTGTCCAAGTTTATGACCAATCCAGTTGTTTTACAGTTGCCAAATGCAATCAAAATAGAGTTAAAGAACCAATTCAACTCATATAATACCATTTTCTATCTGTCAAAAATAGTTTGTAGTCCTTACTGTGACTGTAATTCTATTAATGCGTCAGACTGACCTGATTTCATTCATAAGGGTTATATATTCAGGGTTGAAGCCCAAAGATATATTTTATTTATTGTATATACAAAGAACCCATCTGTAAATCATATTATAAACAATAAATAAACAACAACTAATAAACAAGGATAATAAACATGCCAAATAGAATGGGCCTAAACATCGGAACAGATACTAGAGTGCTGCTTATAACAATCCTAAATGTCTGGCCTGATGACATTATAAACTCCAAACATTTTACTGGTCACAGTTATTTGGTTACAAAGAATATGAAAGTTTTACAAAGGCTCACTTTTACTATCATCCCAGACATAAAGTTCAGTGTATTTGCAGGTTATGACTGTTTCATTTGGATAAAAGCATCTGTAGACGTATATAAACTGGGCAATACAACTTTGACAAGAATCCTGCTGATGGTGCTGATCAGTTTTTGGCAGGCGATCACTTTTTGGCACGACATGTTATTGCATTCATTTGATTATTGTTCTGTTTTTCAGACACTGAATTTCGACTAAACTGGGCTTACACCTATTTTTTGGTGAAAGGAAATTATAACAAAATTGTGATGTATAATTTTTTTTTCTTAACTCAATGAAATAATTTAATATGCAAGGTGACAAAAGTCTGGCTTTCTGCTGAGATGTTGTTTTGTAAATGTAATCTATTGTTTTGTTTTTAAAAAATATATAAATTAATTAACATACATAATACCAAAATACATGTATTTTTTCTTAATTGTTCTATTTTAAATAATCTAGAATGATTTGGGGGGCATAAAAATTATTTAAAAAATATATATGTCTGTAAGTGTGTCCAATTTCAATGTAAATAAATAAATATATATAATAAATAAATCAGTTTGCTGAAATAGGTCAACACTTTTGGTAGGTAAGATCAACATTATGATGTAAAAGAACACACTGTACAGACTAAATGATTAATGCTATGGGCTTTATATAAATTCATTCATATACAGTTCTGTTACTGTCTCTTTCACAATGCAGTTTGTTTACATCGAGCAGGACTGTAGTCCAAAAGCAGCAGCACGTTGCTTATTATAATAGCCGCCTTCTTACTAAAAGACTACAACTCCCATGTTCCCCAGCGTCCCCAGCGCAGTGGCGCTGTCAGGCCGAGGACTCTGCTCTGGAGCAGCCTGCTGGATGCTGAAGCTACACACAGACAAACGCCTGCTGTTACCTAACATAAGGCAGGAGGTTTTGGATGGGCTCCTTCAAAATGAAAGCATCAAGAAAGAAATAATAAATGTGAACATATTGGATTTAAAGAGCAAAATTTTGAGGAAAGAAACAAAGAAAACAATGATCTCTAAAATATGTCTGCTGTAGATTTTCAGTCTTCCAGGTCATGGTAATAATATGTAGCTTGCATAAAGCACAGAACTGAGGAAGCCTCTTGGATTAGTGGTTAAATGTCAACCTAAAAGAGAAGTTTAGCTTTTTTTTAATTTAATTTAATTCTTTAAAATTAAATCTTCCAGAGCTGATCTCGAAAAGTTTGCAGATTCCAAATGTCCAATTCTTAACAAACCTCTGATTTCATAAGCTAAATTTTATTTTTCATATAATGTGTGGCAATTGACTTAAATTCCTTTATATGGTCTAACATGTGCATGTGCAGTGGATTCATTCAGGATGATTTGAATAATTTGCACCACTAAAATACAATAATAACAACAAAGGCAACAACAAAAACTGACACAAAGTTAGAGTAGCCCACAGAGTATTAGAAAGATCAGTTGTGGCTAAAATAAAATAAAAAATTTTTAAAAAGCAGATTTTATGATGATGTGCGTTTTTCTCCCTAAAATATGCGCATATTCCTTTTTAAGTTTTATAATATGCAGCTCAAATAATGCAACAATATTTGAACACTTCACTTAGATAAGTTTTAATAGTAGTATTGTGATTTAATAAACTGGACTTCCCTAATTCCAACAAGAGATCAACTTTCAAGATGATGCATTATTTTGAAATGTCCCACCGGAAACTCTGCTCTGTCTTCCTTCCAGCTTGACTCCAGTCGCGTTCCTCCACCGTGCGCCCACACCCAACCTGCACCGTCTGCTGTATAGGGAGGCAGCGCAGCCCTGCAGTGTATGCAGGACATTGTCTTGGCAGTGCGGCTGTTTGTGGAGCTGTGTGCGGCCTCAGCAGTCAGAGGACAGTCGCTCTCTGGGCAGATCTCTCTCTCTCTCTGTCTCCTCCACTGTAAACATCTCCTCTCATTCATTCTGCTGGCTGCACTGAGGCTCGTGCGCTCTGCGGCTGCGGGCATCATCCATGTACTGTCAATGTGGATAGTGGCTTATTTACTGTGCATCATCTGACTGGAGAAGACATCTGACTGGCACCATGAGCAGCACTGGTAAGAGCGCCCTGTTGTGGAGTACACTGCCTTTATTGTGATAATTGATAGGAGCAACCCCATTTGTATTTATTGTAATATATGAATAAGGATCCTGATAGAATCCAGCTGTGTTGGTCAAATCTGAGTTATTTTGCTGCTTTCTCCTACTTTATGCTATTTTTGTTTTCTTTTGGCATCACCACAATATCCAAATGTGTGAAATGCACACTTTAACCTGTATTTTAAATGGGTTAAAGCACCACAAAATGCCATTCTCTGCACGTGAAGCATCATCAGGATGCACCCTGATTACCACAGTTAAGGTTAATTTCTGATATTAACACACAGTTTCCAAATGTGCCCCTGTGATAAATCCTGCCATGCGAGCAAATCAGAGACGTATTATAAATTGGAGACGCCCACGGTGCCTTTGGTGGCTCTGCAGTCACTCCTGCTTTGGAGAGGCATGGCTGTTTGTCTTCAGCAGGCCTGACTCCTGGTGGGCTGCTGCCACAGCTGGCTTTGTCCCCCCGAGGAGGATCCCCAATATCTGTAACGAGAGGCTGATCTTCAGTCGAGGCATGTGGACTGTTAAGTCCTGCAGCGAGTGCACTGTGTTTTACATGTGCAAATAAATGTGTGTAGTCTGTAAAGTCAGAACATGAGTTCCACAACTTCTAAATAATGAGTAAGTAAGCATGGGGCGTGGTGGTAAATAAACATTGGTAAGACTTAGTGCATATTTGTTTAATGGCAGATTCTGTTACAGCTCTGGAATAACTATTTTGATCATTATGATCTATTAATAATTAGGGAATTTAATACTGTTGTATGAGCTCATACTCAATTAAAGAGCTGTTTCCAAGGACTTTAAGGCTCCATGTTGGTAACCAGTGATTATTGTTTTCCAGAAATGTGCTAAAGTCAGAAAGTAATAAAAACTAAACTGTCTCTTCAAGCCTGAGTTTAAATGAGAACGCCCAACCAAGGAGTGATTTAATCTGCTTTCGTCAGTCATCGTGCGTAAACTCAAATTCACAAGAGTTACATTTACTCACTTTGTATGCAGACTGCACGTGTTTTACACAATACTTTGTTATATCATTTGAAACATAAATACAAGCAGCTCAGTGGTTGCAATTCTGTATTGGAGATATCAAAGATTTCTGACAACAACAAGGTTTAACTGGAGGAAAAATGCTGCAGATTGACAGGAATTAAATCACATGTGGCATTGAAACAAATCAAATGAAGCAACTTCAAATCAAGCTCGTTGTCCATATGTGCAGTTTTATTTAGCTTCACAAACAATATGCACTTTTATAACTTGATCATATTGATTTTTTTTCATGATTCATCCTCACTGGAACAATGTCAGAACGCCCTGTCCAGAATAACAGGAGTTGTTGTTTTTTTTGTTTTACCCGATTCTTCCCCGAGAATGTAGCATCAGCTCTGAATTGAACAACTACTCCCTCCCCTCCACCAAAACAATTTAAAATTGAAATTTCCCAGATATTTCTTTCAATGTTTTTGCCAGATTTTCTGATGTACAAACTTGGAATTTGATGCAATCCAGCCAAAAGCCAGGTCAGTATTAGTAAGAACAGATATTTGGCCCTTATAATCCATGTAGTCCTGCAGTACAGAGAGCAGCCCTGCTTTAATGAGCAGACCCGGGGCTGTTGGAGCTACTAATGAGAATGCTGCAGTGTGTCTGGGATTCGAGACAGGAGAAATTCATTAGCGCTCCGTTGTAAACTGCTCGTGAAAAACAAACATGGGACGGCGTTTGTTTGGGACCTTTCTTCGTGATTCCTCGTGTATGAGTCTGACCTCTTCACCTGTTGAAGAATGTTGGCTGGACGTGTGACTTGAGCAGAAAATTTCATTTTGAATGTCCACCTGTGTGCGATGACAGCTGGTCTCCACATGTTGGTCCAGTATGATAAACAGAATCCCCTCGGTGTGTTTGTGGGCATCAGTCCGTACGGAGGGAGTGTCTGATAACAAGCGTCTATACAGTGCTGCTTCTCTGGTTTTTATTTGCTTCCAAGTGAAGCAGTGAAGGAACTTTGGCAATGTGCTTTGGTGATTGATTATCTCGGTGGATTGGGGAAATTGTATTTTGGGCTTGTTTCCTTTTATCAGGTTCAGTTCAGAGAGGGACACAGGACTGAACTGCACATTTTGTCCTCTTTCATCACTTTCCTGTGCCCACCGAGGCCTGCCTCCTAATCCTGGTCTTTTTTTAACCGATCACTTGCTGATCACTGTGCTGATCTTAATCCATTATGGGTTCAGTTGGTTCTCTGTGGTGTTGAATTAATCTTTAAAACTAGTGCACACAAAAAGATTGTGTCTCGGTTCCTTTGATTGGTTCAGTGTTGATTGGTAATTGCAGCTGATTAACCAAACATCTTGAACACGTCTGGTCCATCCAATATGGACTCTCTCTCTATCTGCTATCCTACTATCCCCACCCCAACCCCTCCGCAGATGGCAGCCTTTGCTGAGCCTGGTTCTGTTGGGGGTTTTTTTTTTATTCCCCTCCTACTGGGTTTTTTTTTTTTGGTTCCTTCCCACATTTGCTGAGGGAGTCCAAAGGCAACTTTGGATTGTTGGGTTCTCAGTTTAAAATTCATAAGGTCTTCAACGTACTATGTTAAGTGCTATGTGATGACATATGTTGTGAACTGCGCTATATAAATAAAACTGAATTGAACTGAATATAGTGGAACACTGTTGGTCCCCACAGAAAAATGAAAGGTACCTGCTTCAAGATAAAGCAAAAAGCCATAATTTAACATGCCCATATGTAGTTTTCTACCACTTATAAACACTGAGAGTTACCAGTGACTTAACAAAATGTAACAAATGTCAGCATATGCATCGTGAAGAACGTGCTGTGTGATATATATGGGTCAGGGGGGTAACAGACAGACTGGAGGCTGTGAGACGCCAGCCACTCTCCAAAGTCTCAAAAGTCAGCTCGATGAGCGAGTGAGTGCTGAGCGGTTGCAAGTGCACAGGGAGGGTCAAGCTTGCACTTGTCATCGCTCTGTGCTCCAGGGGCCACATTTGTCCAAACAGAGCAGAAATCCTCTATTGTGAGCATAATTTTCCCGCTTGCAGATACAGTTCTGCGAGTTCTTATCATGTGGTTTGTTTGTGCATGAGGTTTGAGATTAATTAAATGCCTTATTTTCAGTCTGAGGTAATGCAATATCATAAAACATACAAATATTGTATGAGAGCGAGGCTGCAGTTTCGATAGTTTGATGATTTTCCCACAGTGCTTCACTGTTTCTATTGGCTGGCTATGCAAATTCGCAGGTTTCAGTTGTCCCTGTCTGATAGGCCACACTTTTACATGATAAAATCCTCCAGCTGTAAAGTCCTAATCCCGCTCTGATACTTGAACAAAAGCTGCAAATATGTTTAACGGATTTTGTGAATCGACTGTATATTGACCGATTCGTCACTGATAACTTCAACAGTTTCTCCACTTCAGAGGCTGCCTTTTTCTGATCCATCCTGATTCTCGACACACAGTGTAATTGACTTGCCATCGTCTGAGAGAATCTGTGTGATAAAATACGAATTAAAAAGACTAGATCTGCATTTACAGCGTGGTTGTTCAGTGCCTCTAGAAGTTGATATTGTTTGTAAGGTCAATCCAGAGGAGTGGTGCGCTGGAGTTCAAATAAACCACTCAGAACAGGCTTGGCATGACGAACACACCCTGAGAGAAAGTCTGCAGCGTAATCAATCTGCAGGTCTGCAATCTTACAGTTCTGGAAAAATATAATTGGGGGACAAGCGGCAAAGCTGCATAGGCATCCATAGTGCTACTACCTTTTCCGATACATCTTCTTTACCTTCTTTATTCTTTCGCATGTGGGTTCTCAGGCAGCAGCTCTAGAACTGTGTAGCAAAAAGTAATGAAATTTGGCACACTTACCGAGGACAGTCCCCCGATTGTTTTCACCAGGTTTCATATTTGTACCTCAAGCACTCTAGCGCCTCCAATGGGTTAAAGTTGGAGGTGTGAGTATGCACTTCATTTTGAATCCTGTGCTTGATTTTTTAAAAGAAAAAACAAGTTTAAAGCACCTGATGCACCCCAATGTCTGCCACATTGGATTTTATTAAAAAGTTTTAAGATTCTTAAAGGCCCCTGTCTGTACCAAGGTCGACTCAGATGATTTGCTGATCAAGCTTCACAAAAGTTAACAAATGGAGTTTTGATTATCGAAAGTGTTCAAGGCGAAGCTGCCAAAATAGGACGTGAGGTCGTATATTAGCAACGCTTTGATCGAGTGAAACCAAACTTGGGTCTTGAACTTCGAGGCCCTTTTTAAGGAAGTACAAGAATTTTGCAGGATTAGACCACTAGGGGGCGCTATAACAAGCAAAAAAATTGTCTGAGCCAACATGTTTGCCTCAAACAAATAATGCCTTGAGGGAGGTCAAGAAAAGTCAACTTGTCATGTCAACCTAGTTAACACAATGTTTACTTTTTTCTTTTTTTTTTTTGCAGACAGCAACAGTGGAAAACAAAAAGCAAAATTGCATTTGCCCTAAGTCTGTTTGATGTGTTGGCCTTGTAAAAGTGGTTATGTGTGTAGAGATCTTGGGAGATCCCAAACATAGGACCTTTTTAGTCGACTAAATTTATGCGGACTACATTTGCCATTTCAGTGGTCATAAACATTGTTAGAGCTTTGCCAAATTTGTCACAGATCATCTTCAGACAAGTCCTCACGAAACATTGATTTTTAAATTTGCTAAACCATTTCTCTGTTGCGAAACCCTTCAAATTCAGTCATGAAGTTGCCACGACACAAAGTGAGGGTGTATCCAAGCAACACTTCACTGTGCGGACACCAAACTTGGCACATGGTCTCAGGATGACCTCGTCAAGATCTCCAACCAATTTTGAGTCACTTGACCACTAGGGGGCACTGCACTAAGCAAGAAACAACTTTATGCCTAATGCATCCTGGTATATTCCC